GTACATATTTTACTCACTATCTTTATTTTTAAGTGACGCTTTTTTTGGTGAGGGAGTATGTTTGTCATATATTAAATAGCTTGCATACTCTTTGTCAACACAGATCATTAATTTTTATTTTTTCATATCTATGGCATTAAGAGTCCTGCACTAGGTTTACACTTAATAAATATTTAATAAAATAGTGAAAGCAACAGCATCATGTGAAATTAAAACAAAATTAATTCCTTTTTATTGACAAAAAAGATATTTTGGACAACGCCAAAACTTACTTGTCCATTCTCAAAATATCTTGACCAACGGTAGCTTGACATTACTCGTGTAAATCCATAAGGATGAGCGAGCATAAATCCAACTGCCATTTTGTACAGTCTGCAAGTCACAAAATGATATCATTATAGAAGAAAATAATATTTTTAACATCATTAAAAGGTAGGTTTCAAAACAGGGAACTCTGTTTCTTACCTAGGTTCCCAGAATGAAAGAATAGATGCCCCGCCAGCTCCATGCCCTCGCTGATTATCATGGTTATCAACAAAGACAAGAGCTCTGTCAGAAGGCATGAAGCCCCAGCCTTCTCCCCAGTTCCTATGTAAAAAAAAATTTTAAACACATATATTTATTCTTTTACAATAGCTTTACAGTAGCTTAAATGTGTATTTCTTTCAGAATAGCACTCTCTAATGAAATTCTCTCTCTTAATTAAGTGATTATTCTGTACAGCTTTTTTAATATAAACTATATAGTTATATTATCTACAAATATATTCCAAGTATGTACATATGTAGGAATTACTTGAATTACATTTATGTTACAGTTTAAGATTTTTGTTATATAAAATTATTTTAGAAGCTTCAGTATATTACAATTTAGATGGACTTCAGAAGGATCAACATCCATATTGTATTCTACAGAATGGAAAACTGGGTTAAAATGAGACTTCAATATGATATTATTATAATACGAACATTTTAATATTTGAAATTAATTAATTGGTTGTCAGATGTAAATTCTACAGGGTGGCCACGTTGTAGGGACTTCATAAATGATAAAATCATTTTAATAATAACCTGGCCTTCACAAATTACATGCAAACATGAGTCAAACCTAGTAGAGTCATATAAAAAACATAGATTAAAATCTCTAGGTTATGTTTTGGGTTTCTTGAAATATTTCCTTGTGACTGACATTCTAAATAATAATGATGATCAGTTGGAGTTTGGGGAACTATAACACTTATTATTAGGAAATGACTCCTTGAAAGTTATCTAAATAAGAGGGCTTTAAGAAGATAACTCGTGTTATCTCTCGTGTTGGAGTAATATCACAAATAAATCTATGAAATGATTCAAAGGATAAACCATATTTCACTTACTTTAAATAAGCCATCTTCTCTCCATCCCACTTGCGTATAACCGTGCCTAGTTTTGCGCCATACTTAAATTCTGTCACACGGCCATTTTCATAGTACTCACTGCTTTTAATTGGCTCACTACCCAGATCAATTACCTAGTAGAAATGGAGAAGAAAATATCATTTTAAGTATGAACTTTAATAGCTTTATACTATTTATGTTATATAAAATGCCCAAAGTGGTTTTCCTTATATCAAGATTCTTATTTAATTTGTTAAAATATATGCTACAAAAGCAACATGACAAAGTGACCTATTGTCCTGTGAGAATGCTGACCTTAAATGATAAGAATAGCTCAGACTTACACAGCACTTAATACCTGGCTGACAATATTTCTAAGTGCTTGATAAATATTAACTCTTTAATTCTCCAAAGAAAACAAAGACATAATCATTATCATTAACCCTTTTGATAAATGTTGAAAAAATTATTGCTCAGAGAAGTTAATCAATTTGGCTAAATGAGCACAGCTAATAGTGTTATAGTCAAGATTTAAAGTCAGATAGACTGGCTTAAGACAACTATGTTATTATCTGTCTTTTTTAATGGTCTCTGGGGAGATGATAAGTCACACAGAGATGTCTGCAGCCTAGATAAATTCTCTGCACTTGCATAAAAAAAACCTCTTGTGACAGAATTAGATGCACGGTCTCTGAATAAAAGGAGGTTAAAGAACACTCTATATAAATGATTCAGCCGTTAACCTACAGAAATTGCATTTTTAATGAAATCTGCCATTTATTTTCTGATGAATTAAATTACATTATTTTATATGCACATATATGTATTGATGTACCTCCTGGTAAATGAAAGGTTTACTTCCTGCAGGGAACCAGTTTGTGTTTAGATTATTCAGTTGATCCAAAATTGCCTTCATGTCTCCAGGCCACATGTGCTTAGAAGCATCAATTCTGAACCCTGCTACACCAATGTCAATGAGCCGGTTTAGATAGTTAGCAATCGTGGAGCGCACATAATCTTTCTCCAGTGCAAGATCAAGAAGACCAACCAGACGACAATCTCTGACCTATTAAGGTAAAAATTTTTTAATTGATATATAAAACATCATCATTACCTGAGAATCCATTTGATTATTCATTCACTTACTCATTAATAGGTATTTCTATAGGGACTTCTTTGCATTGTTCTCTGTGGATATTGGCATTCTAGTATGGACATGTCTTTGAAATATTTTCTAATATAAAAATGGAGAATGAACTCTAATCCAAAAAGAAACATGCACCCTAATGTTCAGAGCAGCACTATGCACAATAGTCAAGACATGAAAGCAACCTAAATGTCCATTGACAGATGACTGGATAAAGAAGTTGTGCTCTTATTTATATAATGGAATACTACTCAGATGCAAAAAAGAATAAAATAGTGCCATTTGTAGCAAAATGGACAGACCTAGAGATCATCATTCTAAGTGAAGTAAACAAGAAAGAGAAAGAAAAATACCACATGCTATCACTCATTTGTGGAATCTTAAAAAAAAAGAGGATACTAATGAACTCATCTACAAAACAGAAATAGACTCGCAGACATAGTAAACAATCTTATTGGTTACCAGAGGGAAAAGAGATGGGAAGGGGTAAATTTGGGAGTGTGAGATTTGAAAATGCTAGCCACTATGTATAAAAATAGATCTAAAAAACCAAGTTTCTTCATACAGCATAGGGAACTATATTGAATATCTTGGAATAACCTTTAATGAAAAAGAATATGAAAATAAATATGTGTAGGTATATGCATGACTGGGACATTGTGCTGTATACCAGAAATTGACATGTTATAACTGACTGTATCTCAATTAAAAAAAAAATGGAGAATGAGAGAAATAAAGTAGATGAGCTTTTTCATTGGGAAAAATTAAATTGGGAAAATGTTTTAAATACTGATTTGAGATTCTTATTTTTAATAGTCAGGCTTGGAATCCTATTTTCCTAGGGAATCTAAACTAATAATTAAAATGGAGATCAATAATGTACATGTGGATAATTAAAGGTGTAGGTAGTTCTTTTTTTTAATTACCTGATAAGGATCATTATAGCTCTCAATGTCTCCACTTCCAGTTGTACATTTACCATCATTAAAATCCCAACCAGAGTATGGCACTGCTGGAAAATCCCTAGTTCCAGGGTTGAAGTAACTGCCACAAGTACTTCTTGTTCCCGCACTCACACCACTTCCACACATATGATTAATTACAGCGTCCACATAAATACGGACCTGAAAGGCAAAATTTTTATTTCAGTTTGAGTTAGAGAGGTAGAAATTTATAGTATTATTGATTAAAGTTTACAGCATGTTAATAACACTCCAAAATATTTGTTATTTTATAAGTTATTTTCCTAGAAAAGCAACAGTCAAGTGTGAAAGGAAATTATTGTGAACTGAAGTCCTATACGCATTCTAGCCACTTGGTCAGATATTTACATATATGATAAATTAAGAGATCTAAAAATTACCATAGCTATGAAAAAATACAAACAGACTTTTTTTTTTGGCAGGAAGTAAGAACCAATTGAGGCAGGAGAGGTTATTGGTTTTTGAAATTCCTATGGGTCATCTTAAGAAATAAGTAGCCAGCCTCTACTAGTTATTTAGGATCAGAAGGAAAAAAAAAAAGTAGGTATTGTCTCATTACACTCCTCATCAAAGAGAAAATAATTATTTACCATCAAAGAAACTATGGGAAGAAAGGTCCAGGAATTATGGGTGGAGAAACAAGTCACATAAAAGTTACAGCAAATATTGTAACTGGAATTTCCAATTTCTAAGTAGAAAAATGTTCCCCAGAAATGTATACAGTAGCAAGGGTTAAAAGGTGATATTTTGTTTTATAAGTAAGTTTGTGGCCTTAAACTTTTACTTACATCTTCTTTAGTAGATAAATGGCACATATACAAATATTTACACAAGTTGAACATATGGCAACAATTAAATTTTAGTTTATAGCTAAAGCATAAAGTAAAAATTTTAAGTATATGAAAATCATTCTGCTCAAAAGGAACAAGAGGAGAGAGCAATAATTTTTCAATATAATATTTTTAAAGGAGGCTTTAATTCACTTACACCAACGTTGTTACATCTAGTCACCATGTCTTTGAATTCATTTTCGTTTCCTGATCTTGTACATAAATTGTAGCTAATTGGTTGGTATCTTTCCCACCAAGGTCTAAAAGGGTCAGTAATTACAGCATTTTCATTGGGTGGGGAGACCTACAAATAAAACAACTTTAATAAGTATCAAATTATGGCTTACTTTATATAATTGAATATTTTTAGAAATGAATCAATAGCCTAAAATTATTTCTGAATGTTTGTATATGCAGCTACATTTCTTTACAACCATTTGAAAATATTAACATCACCTTGGAAATGCGGGAAAAAAAAAGGATTATATTAGAAACAAAACAAAGTTGCCAACAATTTCAAATGTTTTCTTTCTCAGAAAACTGTTTTAGAGTACTTAATTGTGAAGTAAAATGTTGTCCCAGATTCATAGACCCAGATTATAATACTGTTTAATCTAAGTACAGCAAAGTCTGCAATTTATACTGTGAACAATACCCACCTGAACACCTCCAAAGCCTTTGGGAGCTAAGTATCGCTCACACTCAAGAGCAATATCAACCCAGCGCCACTCAAACAGATGGACAATAGATGTCCGTCCAGATTCAGTTTGTGGGGCATACTGAGCCCAGCAGAACCCAATGGCTGAAAGCAACAGAAAGAACTTCATTTTGCTTTGAAGTTGTCAATGCTCTTTCCAGCAACTATTTATATGCCTGTAAGAAGCATATTTTGCAAATTAAATGTTAACATGAATAAATACTTTTAGAGAACAAATTGTTTATTCATGATCTGAAAAGAACTATCAATAATAATGTTAAACAGCTGAAGAACATCCATAAAATCTCCCAGGAATATCATTTAAATAATCTTTTACAACAGTGTTTTCCCTATTGAGGGAATATTAACCTTTTTAAACATCTGGCATTATATAAATATAAAGAGTCCTTAATCATGTATTATTTAACTAGGATTAGATGTTATTTCTGAAGTCCTTCACTAACAGAAGGAAAATAAGAATTAGAGCCAACTGAATTGATAGTCAAAATATTGTCTTAACTATCTATTTGCAAATATTTGTAATGCTTCAATTTCAAAAAGAAACAGGATATTTAATTAGTTCTGTTTCCACCCCAATCAAATTTTTTAGTTATTTAAATTTCTGCATTAAGATTTAAGAAATTATTTGGAAACTGAATGACCATGAATTGAGGAAACAGACTTTTCTGCCCCTCTCCATCAAATCATGTGCTGAATGCTTTGGCTATAGCAATAGGGTATGGCTTTTTTTCTCCTTATAACCAAGTATCTCTTATATTTGATAAAACACTAAATTAATGAACCCACATCCATTCTCTTTCTTAATGTATATGAAGTCTTATTAAAGAGAATAATAGTACAGTTGGAAAAAACTTCATTCATTTGTAAGTATTAACTGAGTGTCAGCTTTTTGCTAAGCACATAGATGATATTTAAGATAACAATGATGAACAAGACAGCCAAGACTCTTGTTCTTAAGTAGCTTACTTCTAGTGGAAAGGAAAGAAAATATGTGGGAACATAATAATAATACAATTTAAGATAGCAATAAGAACTAGTATAAAAAATGTAATAAAATAGAAAATGACTTCACTATGAGAGTATTTTAGACTGAATAGTCAGGGAAGGAATCTCTGAGGAAGTGATTTTCAGCTAGAATTTGAAAGACTAGAAGGAGCCAGTTATTTGAGGTCAGAGAAAGAGCAATATAGACAGACGAAAGTGCAATAGTAAAAGCCCAAGGTAGGAAAAACTTAGAATACTGAAGTGACACTAAAAAAAGTAAATAAAAGTCAGTGCAACTAAACAATGAGTGATAAATGGGAGAATAAAATGAGATGAGGACAGAGAGGTAGGCCAGATCATGTAGGACCTTGTAGAAAACATAATGGAAGAGACAGCCATTGATGCTGAAAGATGGGAGCTAAGAGACTCTGATTTATTTTAAAAGAAAATCATTCTTGCTCTGCTGTGAAGAAGCTGGACTATGGGAAGACAAAAGTGAAGTCAAGGAGATCAGTTAGGCTTTTTCAGTAGTCCAGGAAAGAAGTAAGTTGCTTGGACTAGGGCAATGACAAATATATTTCAGAAGTGGAAGGGCAATAGGTTTATAGTTAGATTAGAACTAAAGAATGAGGAAGAGAAAAATTAAAGAAATATGTATTTGATCATACCATTTCTTGAGATAAGGAAAAATGAGTAAGTAATAGCTTTGTGGAGAGGGTACCAGGAGCACTCTGTGAATCCTAATGCTCTCCTTTGGTCCTTCCTCCAACCAACTTTGTGAACAAATTGTCCTATTTTCTTATTCATTCCGAGCTTCTATAACAAGAATACCATAGGCTGGATGGCTTGAACAAAAAACATTCATTTTTCATATTTCTGGAGGTTGGAAGCCCAAGACCAAAATATCAGCAGATCCAGAGTCTGGTGAGAGGCCCCCTCCAAGTTCACAGACAGCCATCTTCTTCTTGTATCCTTACATGGTATAGAATAGAGGGTTTTAGTCTCTTTCTCTTCTTACAAGGACACTAATCCCATCATGGGGGCTCCACTCTCATGACTTCACCCTAACCTAATTAATTCCCAAAGGCCCCGTAGCCTAATACCATTCCATTGGGAGTTCAGGTTTCAACATTTGAATTTTTTGGTGGGGTGGAACACAAACATGCAGTCCCTAATGCTTACCCATTGCAAAACTAAAATTTCTTCATATTTTACAATCAATTTTATTCCTCTATGACTTTCAAGTGCTTTCCTTCTCTCTATGGTTTCCTTCCATCATTCTTGAATGCCTAGTAACTACTCTTCCTTTCAGATGCAATTGAAAAAACATCTTAAGCTTATCTTGACATTTCCAGGCATAGTTAATAACTTCTCTGTATGATAGTTTTACAGGTTTGACAGGTATTTTGGAAGACATTGGTATAGCTTAGGTCATGTCCACATTGATATTTTAAAAATAAACGCTATGTCAGAAATTGTATAATACAGTCTTTTCCAATCCTTGCAAAAACTTGGTATACATAAAGGAACTAAGGCTCAGAGAGATTGAATAAATTGTCCAAGCTCATATAATAAATAACAAAGCCAGAACTGTGATAATCGTCCTACCACAAGTTCATATTCTCTGTATTACATCAATGTTTCTCATAAAATTCTGAAGTTGTGATATCCAATAAGCAACACTTTGTTATTGAACACTTGGAATATGATTAGCCTGAACAGAAATATGCTATATGTGCAAAATACACTCCAGAGTTTGAAGTTAGTGTGAAAAAAATGTAAATAATTAATGTGTAATTCTTTACATGTTGAAACATTTTGTGATACATTAGGCTAAATAAAGTTTATTATTAACATTAAATTCCCAGTTTTTTTTACTTCTTTTAATACAGCTACTAAATTTTTTAAAATTATGTATGTGGTTTTCACTTCTATTGAATAGCACTGTTGTGGTACCTTTCTCACGTTAAGTCAGAGAAAGGACACAGCCATGCAGAAATACAAATAACAATAGTAAAATGAAGGGTATGAGCACTATCTTAAGAGAGTGAGACAGATGTGTTTAAAGTGCTTTAGTATTTCATTAATAGGAAACTCCTTTGTGATTGATGGGAGTAGAGAAAGGTAAAACTGATTAGAAGAATGGGTTTGATTTTAATGAAAAGAGATAAGGTAAAATGGCTTTAAAAACATATCAATTGTAGGAAGTAGGCAAGAGAATAGCAAGAAACCAATATAGTTTTGTAGAACATTAAGTTAGATGTTTCAGAGTCATAGGACTTAAAGTAGGAAAGTTATATTGGGGGTCTTTCAAAGTCAGGGAGATGAAAGCAGACTTTCTTCTGAGAGCTATGAGAAGTTACGGAAAGTTTTTGTTCATTTGTTTTTAAAAAGGAAAGTAACATGATTAGAGCTTTTGGAGTAGAGCAGATGGGTTGGACGGCAAAGAAAACTGAGGTAGAAACAACTGAAAACTTGTGCAGTAGTAAAACAGAGTAGTGATGAAAATGTGAACTAGTATTTTAGCAGTAAAAATTAAAAATTAGGAGAGTGTGGTAAACTGTAAAAGTAAGTGCCATCCAATGAATGACACTCACCAGTATCCATACCTCTGTGGGATCTCTTCCCTCATAGACTATGGAACTGGTTTATAACTTGTTTTGTCCAAAGGGATGTCAGCAAACCAGACACAAACAGAAGTTTGATTAGCATCTGCACAGTGGGTCTTGATCTCTTCAAAATCTGAGACCAGTGTGCTGTGATGGTAACGGGGATATAAGACCACATAGAGAGATCTCATTGTCTTTAGCCATTCCAACCATGTGAGTTGATCTACCACTAACTGTAGTTGAATGACTGTTCCAGAGCTAAACCAGCAGAATGACCTAGTCAACCCTCAGATAAATGAGAAATAAGTTACTATTGTTATTCAGCAATAATTAATTGATAAAAAAAGAGATGCAATAGATTTGGTAGAGATAATTGTACAGAAAATGGTAGCTAATCAGATGTAGGGAAGTAGAGAAAAAGAATCAAAAAGGACTCTCTGATTTAAAGTTTACTGAGTGGAATTATGACAATGCCATTATCACTCATAGTACATTCTAGAGGCATATTCGGTTTAGGGAAACTGAAGAGCTACTATGAGTTTGAGGTTTAAAAAACATTAGATATGAAGAAAGAAGAAGAGAGATTTTGGCAGTTTTCAACAAAGAAATGCTAGTCAAAAATGGCACACAAAATATTTAACAACTGATTTAGCAGACACCAACCAGTCAGAACAGAGGCCATCCATAAACAACTAGTAAGTGCAGGCCAATGCACTCGGGCAGGATTATTAGGCCTGGATAGCTGGAGCTTTGAAAGTTGACGAGGAATCAATAAAGATGTTGAATCAAATGTTACAACTCTGGGCAAAGCCCAGTAGTCTACATGAAGGGGTCAGGTAGAAGGGAGAATATAAAGAGTTACCTTCAAAGTGGGAGAGGAGTTTAATTACACAAGAAAGATTTTCAAAAACAAATAGGAAAATCTGCAAGGAGGAAAAGAGATTAACTGAATGTAGATGAGTATTAGAAAGAGTATGGGAGAGAAGAGTAACTAGATAGTGGATGATATAGGACTGATGGTGATAAAGAGTTGAGAGTTAGAGAAGAACAGCATCATTTGAACTTCACACATGATTCAAGGTTCCAAATGTTAAAATGTAATGGTTAAGGACATGACCTTAGGAGTTAGACAAGAGAGATTATAGTTTAAATCTCGACCTTGCCATTTATCAGCTGTGTGATTCTGAAAACTAATCTCTCTAAATTTAACTATGAGCTAGAAAAAATAATATGTACCTTATAATAGAGTTGTTATGATGATTAAATGGATTAACACATATAAAATTGTTATCCTAGTGCATGGATAAGTAAAAGCTCAATATATTTGGTTGCTGTAATGCTGTTGTTATTATTGTATTTTTATTTTTATTTCTGGTACTATTCAAACTGGTATACACCCATGTTCTCTTCCCACTTATACTTTTCATCTCTTGGGCATTGCCTTTCAATTCCATTCTCCCCAAGTTCTAATAATACTTTCTACATCTCAGAATTATTTTCATATCCCCTAGAGGAATAGATGGTGATAAGAAGGAACCAGCAATGTTTTCCACCTGCAGTTTTCTCCACATTTTCTTTTCTTTTTCTTTCTCACTCTCTCTTTAAACAGCTTAGAGCTTTTGGCAGACTACATGTTGGTTTTGAAATAACTCATCATTGCCTCATCAGTCATCTCTGAACTATTCTTTAAATAGCAAGTGTTTTTCACAAAATATTTAAAATATTACTAAAATAAAGGATAACTTACAGACACAACTTGGGGGAATTTTACTAGCATCCAAGCATAGGTAGAGACATGCAAACATATAATAAGTTTCTACCAAGGATCAGCCATCATCACATGTTTTCTGAGAAACTTTCTATGAAAAAATATGACATAGGAGAGTCATTAAAACAACTAAAGTATATTTATATTTTGTGAAGTAAAATCTGCAAATAAATTCTTGACATCTTTGACATCAATAACAAAACCAAAAAATAAGAAAATGAACTAGTTGTTATGTCTACTTCCCATTATAATTTTCCTAAAAAAGTTCTCCTCAGAGAAGCTATTCATAATTACTAATAGTAATATCAGTGTTCTGTTGCCCACACCTCATATTTCCTGGATTGCCGTAAAAAGAGGAAATTTCTTTTTATTTTGAAGTTATAATGGCTACTATAATGTGCCAAATGAGATGTCTTGGGAAGTCCTAAAAGTATTAAATAGAATACTGGATAATATCTTAAAATCAAAGCAATACTCCTTAGGCAGTATTTATATTTGAAGTTTCAATAAAATATATCCAATGTTAAGAAGAAAAAAATTCTGTTAACTCAGACTTATCCATAAGATTACTAGTTACTGATATTCTCAAGTGTTTTTTCTCAGTCAGTATTATATGAGGCATTTATTTTATTTATTGTCCATAATATGAATGGCATTATAGGGGAAAGGCTCTAATATAAATTCAGGATTTCTCTTAACACATCAAATATCATAAATTTAGACATTTAGCTTAAAGTCTGATTAAATCACATGAATGTCATGACATAAATAAAATAAAGGAGTTCTATTAAAATGTTAAACAAAAAGCAGTAGTCAAGAAACTTCTATCTAATTCTATAGCTTCCTTTCTACTTATATAAACCTTAGTTACCTATGTACAATGTCCATGTCCCCTATCCAAAGCAACTTCACCTCTCAGGAAGATACTAATATTTTTACCATAGAAATGAATTAGCATTAACAAAGAAGAGACAAGTTATCTACTCTTGTCATTTGTAACTATCAGCCTAGATGTCTTATAGTTAAGTATCTTTATAGCATGTAATAAAAATATCATTAAATATTTTAGTGGAAATATCATCCATGTCACATCTATAGTTGCTATTTTATCACTTATATTTATCTCCAAGTGTTTTTACCTTTTATTTTTTCTATTTTCCCAGTTTTCAATATACTAGAGCATTAGGTAATAATTATTACTGTAGTATTTGATCAGGTTAGTGGTTTCTCATACTGAAAAAAAGTCATAACTCTTCTAAATTTTACATTGAATCATGCACAATTTTCTCAAAACAGTATCCCACCACCCATCCAAAAAAAGAGAAAAAAAAGAAAAGAAAGAAAAAAAAAGAAAAGAAAGAAAAAAAAGAAAAATGAACTCGAGCTCAGGATAATAAGTCACATGTGAAGATTAGAGAAATGAAAGCAAAGATAATCAAGTTTGCCTACCAGATTTCTGAAATGAGAGAAATATTTTGAGCCAGGGATCAGACGCATTTCAAACACAAATAGTACGTTTTGTACTGCTGGAAACTGAAATCTGAGCTGTCAACAAGCCTAAAATAGATTGTGAAACTCTGAACTATATCAAAGCACGTGACAGAAACCACTTATTTCAAGACAGAAAGGGAGGGGGGAATTATGATACTAAAAACCATTAAAATAACTCACCACATCAACTTCCTTAGTTTAGCAACCTCTCAAATCCACATTTCAGTCTTTTATATCATAAAACAACAAAATCACACAGTTCTGATTTTGCTTTCTCTTCAATTAGAAAAAAATGCTGAATGTAGGACTTTAGAGACTTCCTATAATACTCCTCTTCCTTTCAATTGGTGTTCTTATGACCCAGTTCTAATTCTCCAAATCTAATTTGTACAAAAAGTCTAGTGTGAGCTCTACAATGACACCAGATTGGCTACTATCACTCCTGTTTCCTGAGCAAACTGACTTCCCTCCTTCAGCTCAGTGTGCTGCCCTGCCAGCTCTTCTAATTACACTGTACCTCTTCAGTTGCTTGCTTTCTGTCTTCCTTTCTCATTCTCAGTATCCTCTCCCAGTCTCAACTAGTCTTTCTTTCCTGAAGCATTTATACCAATGTATGGGAAAAAAAAAACCTTTGCTAAAATAAACTTAAAGACACAGATTAGAATATGATTGTGTCAAATTAGTTAAATAAGTGCTACTAGAATGTAAATAAAGTCTCTAAACCAAAAATCTAATTTTAAATCCACGGTTTGCCATCTACAATGTGAATCTTAGAGAAAATATTAAAGTCTATAGATTACATTTAGATCCTCATTTAGAAAATGGAAATAATAGTGCTATTGATAAATATGATAAAAATTCAAAAAAATAATTAATAATAACTAATAATATTCATTGAGTCTTACTATGAGCCATTTCCATGTATTATCACTTTGACTCCTCCATAAAAATGCAGGATAGAATCATGATTAGACTCAGTCTTAAAATAAGGAAACTAAGGCACTGGGAAATTAAGTAATATAACTTGTCCATGAACATATTTTAGTAAATGTTCAGACTGAAACTCAAAGCCAAGCAAACTAACTTTGTAGTGAGCTCTTAGCCACTATTCAGTCTTTTTAATCTCCCTCACTGGGTTGTTATAAAAAAATCAAATAAAAAAATTCTATGTGAAGATATTTTAGAACCTGGAAATTTCTGTTTAGCTAATATTAATATGTTCAGAAGACTGTAAAAGTAGTAAGGGCTATGCGCAAATTTCCTGTTTTTCTAATGTTCACTCTAAATGAAACTAATTTTTCTGTTAGGTTTTATTCCTGATCTCATACTCAACCACAGAATGTACAGTTGTTTATAAATATTGGGTATTCCTCCCTGTAGGTGAAATACATACCTCTGTCCTGCTGAATTCAAGAGTGCCCACATGATTGGCTTTGGCAATGAAATGCAAATAGAAGTAATGCTTTACTTTGGGGGCTTCTGTGATTGTCAAACATGTGTCAAAAAGATGTTTCTGTAGCAGACTGTGAAGTGACTAATATAAGGAGTCCCCTTGTCAATCTGAGACAAACATGAGAAATAAAGTTGGCTATTCTAAGGCAATGAGAATTTTTAGTACTTTGATACTGCAGCATGATCTATTCTATTCTGATTGATAAATCATTAAGTTTCCTTAAGCTGTTTGATTCATAAAACATTCTTGTATGAGATTTTCTTCTCTAGGGATGTAGGAAGTCGAGTGAAGAATAAACTATAAGATCAGAGAATATTACCATTGAGAGAGACTATTGGAATAAACTAGTCCAGTGGTTTCCAGATTTTAAGTACTAACTAAAATTTCAAAAAATTTTATAAAAACATATTTTAATACAAAGTCTTGAAATTTAGC